ACTCCTCTTCTTCCCTAACCGACTATTCTTCAAGGTTCAACCCCTGCTCTCTGTACACTGTCCCAGCTTTAGCTATCACTTCCATGCTGATGACCTCCAAATCCATAAGTCCATAATCTGTCTAAACCACCTTTCCTAAATTATTATTTATCTCCTACTGACCGCAGGACTCATTTCTATCTTCTAAGACAATTTTGGCAGCTGGCTTGAATTTCTTCTTTTCCCCATATGATTCCAAACCCCTTGACGTCATAGCTCCTCACTTGCCTTGACTCAGAATCATAGAGTTGTAGTTTCTGGTTTCTGCCCGTGGTCAGCTAACACAGCTTCCTACCTGATGCATGAATCCCCTGTCCAACATCCCTGACAAGTGGTTACCCATTTGACTCTATTGACTTTTTTCTTCACATATCCTGAATCTCATCATCACATTTCACTATTCTGCCTCAGAGATATTGAATGTGATATTCCCCTATTCCAGCTACATCTTTTTAACTTTTTCACTCCCCATATTTACAAAACTAGTCCTTTGCTTTCTTTCAGACCTCTGATCACTCACTTCTTTCTCACTTCCCCTGGTGTATTAACTACCCACCCCCAGCTACCTTGGGCTCTCTGTCCTCCTTGACCCTTGACTTCAGTAATGATCTCATCACCAACTAAATATCCTTGCCTGGTTGACCTTTAATCATTACCACCATTCCAATTTCCCCTGGAGGCTGAATCACTTCCAGGGTTTCTCCATCTTCTCCATTCCAGCTACCAAACCACAGAGTGTTTCTAGAGGAAGACAGTCTTATGCCTACCCACTACACCACAAATCCATCTTAACACCACACGGGCGTTCCCACTGCCAAGCAATGCTTTTATTTATCTCTTGCAAATGTAAAATATTATTATTACACTTGGAGTATTATTATCATTACACTAAACCAAAGCCGTTCGGATAAGCTCCTTGTCCCCACCTAAACATATCTCTGTCTCTCCATCTATCCCTTCATTCTTTCCTCCAGTCTCAGAGGAAGGAAGAAACATCTCTCTACGCCAGTGTTCACAATCCCATCTCTTTACAAGTCCTCTGATGGACCACTGCCAGACTAATCTTCAATGATAATAGGAATACTAGCAACTGTTATTTATGTAAGACTGGTAGGCTGATCTTTCAAAAATTCTTTCCAGGAAATATGAGGTAGTAGGGAGTCCTGGGGTTGGAATTGGAAAAGACCAAGATTTGAATGCTGACTCTAGTACTTGCCAATTCTGTGACTGTGGGCAAGTCACATAATCTTTCTAAGCCTCACTTTGTCCATCTATAAAATGGAGATAATAATAACTATAGTCCTTAACTTTACAGGGCTGTTGTGAGGATCAAACGAGATAATTTGTGTAAATTGCTTTATGAACCTTAAAGTGCTAAAAAATTATGAGCTATTATAACAACTCAAAAACTTTCAGTGATTCCTCATTTCCTACCACACTAAGTCCAAACTCCCACCTACCTCCCTCAGCCATCTGCCATCTGTCCTCCTATACTACCCACCCAATTTTCGAGATCAATACTTCAAGAACTATAATCTGGATATAGAGCTTTAAAGAGCTACCTGAAGCTCAGAAAGATTTAAATGATTTACCTGTGGTCACACATCTGGTATCAGACAATAGAATTTGGACCCAGGTCTTCCAGACTCCAAGTCTGGCACTTTAACCACTAGGCCTAGATACCTGTAATCATGCCCTATGTCTTTCTATTCCTAAACATTGACACCCTAGTCTAGTTAGACAAGTATCTTTACTATCTCTAGAAGATGTCATGTCTAAGCCACCTCTAAGCCTTCCCTTATGTCATGTCATGTCATTCATTCAACAAATATTTATTGAGCAACTACTAAGTGTTAGTAGTTTTAGTATTCTCTCCTCATCCTCTTCTCTACTAGGAGCTCCACTGGCTTTGAAGAGGTTCAAATATACCAGGTCTGTCACTTGTTACCTACGTAACTAGAGGTGGGGGTGAGGGGCACATCTCCAGTCATCCTGATCAACATCTGGCCACTGGACCCAGATGGCTCCGGAGGAGAGAGTGAGGCTGGTGACTTTGCACAGCCCTCCCTCACTTAAATCCAATTCACTTGAATGTCATGGCACTACCTTCCTGATGTCATGGTCCTCTTTGAGAAGGAAGGACAAACAACAGCAAACAATATAAACTGGGACGAGTCACTTACTTCACACAAGTCCCAACTTCTCTAGATCTCAGTAACCTTCTTTGTGAAATAAGACAGTTGGACCAGACGACTTCCAAGCATGTTTCCACTTCTGAATCCAAAGCCTCATGGTCAAATAGGGCTCGTGAGCTAAGTTCCATCCCGTATCTCATGCTTTCTATGAAGCAGTCCCTGACTACATATCCCATAGTGGCCTTGTACAAATTTCAACAGTATTGCCCAAGGTAGCACTTCATCATATACCATTTTGTATTATTTGATCCTGTTCTATATGTTTCTTTGTTGTCTCCGCCTAACTTGTAACCTCCTTGAAAGCAAGGGCTAGGTTATATACTTCTACCTTTTCTGCATCCTTTCCACACAGTAGGAGCTCTATAAATTGGCAATTAATTGATCAATTGTTCGGTGGCTAAAACCCAGAGATAAGAAGTCACTGTGTCAGGAGTATATAAAGCTTGAGTGCCAAGGATGTGCAAACTTGTTGATGGAAATAGGAGAGGGGAGGGGGACTGTGCCTGGGATGGAAGGTTTAGTATAAGGGAGGGGGACATAAGTCTCAAGGATGGGGATAAGTGTCAGAGTCAAAGGACAAGTGTCAAGAATATAGGGATATGCTGGGGCTTAGAGATGTTTCTGAGACAGAAGAAGATGGATAAACATCAGGAATAGGGAATGAGTGTCAGGGAGAGGACAAATGTCAAACACAAAGGATGAGACTCAGAGGTGAGGAATCTGTGTCAGGAACTGAGAGTTAAGTGTGAGGAATGGGGAATAAGTATGGAGTGGGGAGATAATTGTCAGGAATGAAGGGTAAGTATCCAGGATGAGGGCTAAGAACTGAGTGAAGAAATAATTGTCAGAAACAGGAGATAACAATCAAAGATGTAGATAAGTATCAGAGATAATGGAGATGGGTAAGAAAGTGGGGAGTGGGGGAAGGAAGGGCAGAAGGAAGGCAGGCAGTAGAGATATGGGTTTCCAAAATGGGGGATGTTAGGAAAAGAGAGACAAGCATCAAAAGACAGATAATTAGTTTCAAGGATGGGAAAAATGTCAGAAATTCAGATATAAAGGTCAAAAGTAGGGTGGGCAGGGAATGAGTATCAAGGATGGCAAATAAATTCCAAGTTTTCAGGTGACCATAGAGGCAGCATAGTGAATCAAGTCAGGCTTGGAGTCAGGAAGATTTCTCAGATGGGCTTACATGCCATGAGTCAGTTAAACTTTTCTTCCTAACAAAACCCAAGAGTGAAAAAATCTCATCTCTGCCTTAACCTGGACAAGTTATTTAACCACTACCTGCTTCAAGCCACTCCCTATGACTTCTAAATCACAAGCTACTGTTTGCTTTCCAGGGAGTTTCCATGCTGGGAATTCCTCCCACACTCATAAAACTGCAGACTTTTCCTGTATTCATGTATTAGAGGAATGGGTCGAGGTAATGTGGGATAAACATAAGGAATAGAGAATGTGTCAAGGATGGGGAACGTATCAGGGGTAGACAGATAAGTCTCAGCCATAGGGGGTAAGTCTCAGGCTGGGAGAATAAGTGTCAGCTATGAGAGGAAAATGCTAAGCTAAGTGCCAAGAATCAGAACTAAATGCTGGGCCTTGGATTTCAGTGACAAAATGGGGTGCGGCTATAACACTGTCTCAGGGCAAAAGGGTAGAAGAGACCTGAGGATAGTTGTTGTGCAAGACCTTGAAAGGTCACTCTAGACATCCTCTTGCCTCTGTTCTCATTGCTGATCTAGAAGACCTACTGAATCTCACTTAGAAAATTCCCCTTTAGGTGGCACAGCAGATAGAGCTCCAGCCTTTGGAGTCAGGAGGGTCCGAGTTCAAATCCAGTCTCAGACACGACACTAGCTGTGTGACCCTGGGCAAGTCACTTAATCCCAAATTGCCTCACCAAAAAGAAAAAAAAATTCCCCTTTAGAAAGAAAGAAGGGAAATAACTGAGAGGAATAGGAGTCCCTGCAGCTAGGAATGGAGACTAGAGGTGGAGTAGTTGTTTAATGGATGGGAGAAGCAAGTATGGCTTCCTGGCCAATGGGCCTCCATTTCTTCATCTGTCAAATGGGAATAATTCCTGCCATGCCTAAGTCCTAGGATGGTTGTGAGAACTAGATGAGAGTGCAGATGGAAAAGTGTTTGGGGAAATATGAAACTACGGGAGGAGTTGAAGGGGTTGTCTCCATTTAGGGCATAAAATGTAAGCTCTTGAAGGCAGGGACTGGGGCAGTTAGATGGTGCAGTGGATAAAGCACTAGCCCTGGAGTCAGGAGGACCTGAGTTCAAATCCAGCCTCAGACACATAACACTCACTAGCTGTGCGACCCTGGGCAAGTCACTGCATCTTGTTTGCCTCAGTTTCTTCATCTGTAACATGAGTTGGAGAAGGAAATGGCAAACCACTCCCATATTTGCCCACAAAACCCCAAATGGGATCAGGAAGAATAGGACACAACTGAAATGACTGAACTACGACTTCCCCCAGCTCACAAAACAATGCCTGGCAAACAGTAAGCCCTTAATAAATGCTTGTTGAAAGAATGAATGAAATCAAGAACTCCTGATTCTCTCTTCAACCCTCAACCAATCAATCAATAAACATTAAGCACCTACTATGTACCAGATGCTGATCTCTCCACTAATCCCTCAGTTACTTATCTCTCCAGCTCCTTCCTTGATCCTGTGCTTGGGAATTCAGAAACCTTAATGATGAGAGGAGGTGAACCAATAGGAAGTAGGGAGATTTAATGAGCCACACATGGGTACCGGGGGGAGTGGGGTTGAGACTCCAAATCTAGCCTTTATTTCGGAATGGAAGAGAAGAGGAGGTGAGGCAGAAGCCCCTGCTGGGGTCATTCACAGACCTAGGGCAAAGGGTCTCCCCTACATACCAGGTGCTCCTTTGTTCCCACTTCACTGGGAACAGAGGGTTTGGGAATGAGTTGGTGCTGCTGGCACCAGAAATGCCACAAGTTGTTAAAGCCTTCAATCACAGCAGCTGCAGAGGAGGAGACCCAGAGACTTTCAGCTAAAGACGGGCGGAGGAGACAAAGTGGCAAAGGGGAGGGGACTCTGAGACTCCCCACAGGGGGTCCCCCTGGATAGCTCAACCTCCCCCAGTTCATTCCAGATGAGAAGAACAGTCGATAGGGAGAAGGAAAAGGTGAGAAAGAGTGGGGCCGGGAAGAAGACTGGAGCCTGAAGAATTGAAGTTCAAGGCCAGAATGCCCTGGTGTGCTGGGGAGGGGAGGGAGAGGTTCTGGAGGAGAACAAAGAGGCTGCTAGTCGCTGTTTTGCTGCTCCTGCTGGCGTATGAGATTGGCGATGGGGCTGGTGATCCCGCCTATCAAGGTCCAATACTCATCAAAGCTAATGCGCCCGTCGTGGTTGGCATCCAGATTCTGAATGAGCTTGTCAGCCGCCTTCCTGTTGCCTGTGTCCTGGTAGGGAGGTTAAGTAAGACGGGGGAGGAGTCAGTGGTAAAGGATCCCTGGGGATTGGGGGGCAAGCGGGGCAGCCAAGGGTCAGAGTCCAGGGCTGGAGGCAGTGGAATAAAGGGGAAAGCACTGGATGTGAATCAGAGGGCGTGGGTTCAAACCCCGCTCTACTATTTACTACCTCTATGCCCTTGACCTAGTTACTCCCCCACCCTGGGCCTCAGTTTCCTAATTTGTAAAACAAGAAGGCTGGACTAAATGACCTCTAGGGTCCCTTCCAGATCTACATCTATGAGCCGATCATTCAATTGAGGCTGAAGTCATTTACCACCTCCCACCCCCACCCCCCCTTTCCCCTCAGAGATTTCAAAACAAAGGAAGGTCTGTCCACCAGCCCCACTCCAGGCCTCCTGGGCATACAGCCCACTGCCCTCTGGGAAATTTCCCTGTGGGGGGCCAGGGGAAGGGGGAGGGAATGGAAAGGGGTCCAATTCCCTTACTGTCAACATGTGGGGGAATTCTGTCTGCAGCATTTTTCGCAAACTGCTTTTGCTGATCTTGTTCCGAACGAGGCTGCGCCTGGGTACATATTTGTAAAAGTTGAACACCAGGACTTGGATTGCCAGTTCCAGCTCCGTGAGGCATTCCTCCTCTGCCATCTCACCTGCTCAAAGTTCTTAAGGAAAGGAAGTGGGCATTAAGGAAAGGAGTTCCCAAGCCTCCGTCCCCACAGAGCCTCTCCCAGCCCACCAACCGCAATCCTGGAGTGGAAGAACTCCCAACCACTCCCCCCCCCCTCCGGAGGTAAGAGAGTGCGCTCTGGCCCTGGGAACAGACGGGGAGGGTGGGTGTAGGGGCTCGGATCTGGAATGAGAATTATGTGGCTCCCCCATTCCAGGTGTTTCCCCCATCCAACCTCCCAGACAGGTTCTTCCAGTCCCTCCCCAGCCTCAGGCCCAAGGCAAGGAGCATAGCAGAACCCCAACTGTGAGAGAGGCTCCCGTGGGAAGAGAGACCTACACTAATTGACAGACCCTCCCAGTCCCACACCCTGGCCCCTCCCAGGTGTCCTCTGAACCCTCCCACCCACACCTTCCGGGGATTAGAGACCCTCTCCCCATTTTTCCCCCAATCCAAATTCAGAGTGGAATAATTTTCCCAATCCAACCCATACTTTCCTGGGGTTAGACTTGTAGAAAGACCCTGTCTTCCCCCAACCCGCATCCAGAGTGGAACAACTTCCTCCAACAGACACACAGACACACATTCACACAGTGGGCCACGGGCAAAGTGCCTGGGGCTGTGGCCGCAGCTGCAGCCACCCACCGCTGGATCTCTAAGGCCCTTTCCAGCTAGACGGGCCCCACACCCCATAGTGCCCCATGGCACAGGCTCACACAGAATCCCAGGATCTCAGCATTAGAAGAGACCCCCCCCCCCACCTCCCAGGTCATCCAGCCCGACCCGATACCTGAGCAGCAATCCTCAACAACTGGTTCTGTAATCTCTTCGGGAAGACCTCTAGCCAGGAGAGCCCTCCTCCTTCTTTAAGCAACCCCCTCCAGGCCGGCCCTGGCTCACAACTCTCCACCCAGGCCCTAGTTCTGGGAATCCTCTTGTTACACGAAATGGAGCCAAGCTCTTTCTCAGACCCAATCCCTCCGTTCCTTGGCCAGGCACACCCAGCTTTGGCCAGTCGGCTCCAGCTGTTCTAGGACATCACTTTTAAGCCACCACAGTTCTGCTTCCTCCCCACAGTTCAGCGTGCAGGACACATGCACATCCCAACAGAACAGAGTCTCCTGAATAACAGGATGTGAGGGAAGGTGTAGTGGGTGGGGGATGGGAGGGGGGTGGCAGGCAGGATCTGCTCTATGATTCACCACCCATGCCCAAGTTAATCCAATAATTCAGCACAAGCGCTACATGATAATAACTGACATTTACAGGATGTTTGCAAAGCGCTTTAGGTATATTATATTCTTTAAATCCCACAACAACCTTGTGAGGTAGAGACTATCATTACTGTCCTCTCCTTTTTACAAATGAGGACACTGAGGCAAAGAAAGGTGAAGTGATCTGCCTGTGGTTAAACTGTCAGAGGGTGGATCTGAACTCATATCTTCCTCATTCCCAAGTCTAACATTCTAACCACTGGGCCATAGTACTGTTCCACCTCCCCATTACTTGGAAGGAAGTAATAATAACAATAATAATTATTAGTAACTGCAACTACTCCTATTTCTATAGCACACAAAGGTTTATAAAATGCTTTTCTTACAACTGCTTATACAAAACCCCATTCTGACCCCTATTTTATGTGTTATCTTCTATTAAAACATAAGCTCCTTAAGGGCAGTGACTTTTTTTATCTTTGTTCTCAAAGAGCTTAGTATAGTGACTAGCACATAGTAAACACTTAATAAATGATTATTGCCTGCCTGCAAGTTTTATTATTCCCATTTTACAGATAAGGAAACTGAGGCTTAGAGAAGGTAAGTAATTTGTCCAAAGTCACGCATCTAATATATGTCAAAGCTTTTATTCCTACTCCTTTCTTCTCATCCTAGGTGAGTTAGAAGGCACAGATTAGTAGATTGGGGACATCCCAGTTCCAGGGCCTAGATGCCCATCCTCACCTGCTACCCATTCTCCAAGGCCTGCTCTTGGAAACTAAGATGAAAGATACCAGTTTACAGATGCTCTAACCAGGACCATTCCGGTGCTTCCTGAACATCTATGTACTAATGAGGCCCTCTTCCTGACACTCTTGCCTGCTTTTAGATAATCAAATCATCTTCACAGTCCAGTCCTATTGATTTACTTCCAAGGTCTTGGTAGGAAGAAAAATAGGGTTTCAAACAAGGATGAAAGCTCAGAAGCAAAGCTGTCTTGGCATACTCACTCTCCTCCAGCCCACATACCTCATCCACTCCTGCCTCCTTGCTTTTCCTTATACCAACAGCAGCCATTTTTTCCAAACCAAAACTTGGGATGCAAAAGTCTGACAAAAGACATTCTGCAGAACCCTCTCTGATCTCATCAGTTCCCATGGGTTCAATGATTACATCTAGGCAGATGATTCCCAGATCTCTATTTCCAGCCCTAGTCTCCTGATCTCCAGTACCATATCACTGTCTATTAGACATTTCCAATTAGATGTCCCGTAAATATCTTGAACCCAACACTTTTTTAAACTCAGAATTCAATATTTTGACCTCAACATGTCCAAAACAGAACTAAATTATCTTTCCCCTCAAAAAAAACTCACCCCTCTTCCTAACTTTCCTGTTCCTATGAAAGTCACCATCATCTTAGTTACCCAGGTTCTCAGCTTCTGAGTCATCGACAATATTCGACGTCTGATTCAGTATCTCTGTATCAATCAATCACCAGGTCTTAGGGATTCTACCTCCACCCTTCTCAGATCTGTCCCCTTCTCTCCACTCATATCACAACCACCCTGAGGCAGATTCTCATCACCTTTGACCTGGGCTAATTCAACAGCCTCTTAGTTGATTTCCTTGCCTGAAATTTTTTCTCTCTCCAATTCATCCTCCACTCAACTACCAGAGTAATATTCCTAAAAGACCAGTCACTCCCTTGCTTAAAAGTCTCCAGTGGCTCTCTATTCCCCCTAGGATAAAATACAAGCTCCTTTTAATGCCCTTGACAATCGGCTCCAGCCTGCTTTTCCACATTATTACATATTAATCCACTTCCTAAATTCTTTGATCCAGCCAAATTGACCTTCCTGATCTTCCTCACACGTGATATTCTATATGCCATCTCCCCCACCCCTGTTCTTTGCATTGGCTGTCCCCTATGCCTAGGATGCCCTCTCTCCTCACCTCTACCTCTTAGAATCCTTAGCTCCCTTCAAAATTCATCTCCTACAAGGCCTTTCCCAATCCCCCTTAGTTGCTAATGCCCCTCTCCCAAATGAATTTTTATTTATTTTGTATGTATCTTATTGTCTCCCTGGAGAGAATGTCAGCTCCTTGAAGACAGAATCTATATCATTTCTGTCCTTCTATCCCAACATCTAGCAGTAGCTCCTCATAAATGCTTGTTGACGGATTGATTGATTAAAGCAAATACACTTTCTTTTCTTGAAACTGAACCTGGCCCAGAAAAGCTAGGATGTGTACAAAGTAGCCCTCCAACTCCTCTCCTAGCCTGGTATCCCCTAACCCTTATATCTTTTCTTAACCTAGCTGAACACCATCCCAGGCCACAGTGATCCTGCTTCCCCAGTCCTGAGCCCTGCAGGCTCCCACTGCTCCCACATTTCACCACATACCACCTCTTGCTATTAGTAGTTTTTAACGTGTACTATCTTGTCTCCCCAGCTATGTTAGAAACTCCTTGAAAGCAGAAATTGTGAATTTGTATTCCTCTTGCTTAGCACAGTGCCCCAAGAAAGTAGAAGTGTTTGCTAAATTGATAATTATGCCTCTGTCCCCCATTTCCCTCTCCCCTCAAGTCCTGACCACCAGTGTTCTAGGTTCTGGACCATCTTTCTGGGACCCGATAAGAGCTTATGAGCATCGATGTTTAAGTGGCTTTCATGGAAAAAAGTATGAGTGGGGAGGGAAGGAAAATGGCAGGCAGGGGCTTTCCTGCCTCCATTTGGATTTTTCTTAGATCATAAGATTTGGAGCTGGAATTCTTGGAGCTCACTTAGTCCAACTCACCCATCTTACAGGTAAGGTAACTGAGGCCCAGAGAAGGGAAACTAAATTGCCCAGGGTCACACAGATGAAAAATTGCAGAACAAAGATTCAAAGCCAGCTTCTCTGACCTGCTCTTTCCATTATACCACAAAACCTCCATCAAGACTTAGCTCATAGGCTCCTTCTTCCATCAGGTCTTTCCTGCTGCTTCCAGGCAGAAACAACTGTCCTTCCTTTGACATGTGCTCTTATCGTGTTACAGTATGTAAAAAATTTACTTGGACATGTGTCATCCCTCCTACCAGATTGGAATCTACAGGTCAGGAACCCTGGCTTACTCATCTTTGTATTATATACACACACCCCTGCCCCAAACACAGTGTTCTGCACACAGAAATAAATAAATAGAATAGAATAAAAATAAATATTTGTTGGATGAAATTGGGTTGGTCACCATCCCCTCTTTGGCTAGGAACCCCTCTTCCCCCACTATCTTCCTTAGCTCCTTCCCACAAACTCTTAGGGCCTGAGTTCATAGTTAGGAAAGAGGATATGCCAAGAGATGAAGGTAAGTTTAGGGATACAGAGGGTGCTGGGGGTGGAGTAGGATTAATGTGTGTGATAGAAAAGAATCCCAAAGGACACCTGCATTATTGGCCTGAGAAAACAAGAGATCAAGGTGCAGCTAGGTGGTGTAATGGATAGAGCACTGCCGTGGAGTCAGGAGGACCTAAGTTCAAATCTAGCCTCAGACACTTGGCATTTACTAGCTGTGTGACCCTGGGCAAGTCACTTAACCCATTGCCTAGCCAAAAAAAGAAAAGAAAAGAAACAAGAGATCAAACTAGCCTGTGACCTCTGGAACATAGCCCAGGGGCCTGTGAAAGTTGTACCTTCCTCAGGAGGGTTGGGGCCAAGCCTGTTCCCCAGAGGATCTAAGGACCAGGGTAAAGCAAGGAATCTCCACAAGAGAAGAACATCAGACTCAAATCCCACAGAAACAGTATCCCAGGCTTCAGAAAACATCCTGCCTTATCTCAGGTCTAAGTCCCCCAAAGGAAAAGGAGACAGAGAAAGGGAAAGGGTGGGGCACACACTAGTTTATCAAATGGCATCCCTGTTCTCTACTCCACCTAGCTCCCAACCACCCCCTTCCTTCCTTCCTTCCTTCCTTCCTTCCTTCCTTCCTTCCTTCCTTCCTTCCTTCCTTCCTCATGGTATTTCTTTAACCAGGAGGGTCTTGCTCTGTCCTTCCCAGGGCAGCCCAGCAATAGATATAAGGAAGGCAAAAGTTGGGTGGGGGAGGGTTGGTGCTGACATATCTGACTCCTCAGTCACCACTTGGTCTCTGGGCCATCCTGGGAAGCCATTTTCCCAGGGTTGCCCCTCTCTGTTCCTTGGTTCTCATGTACTGCTCACAACATCCACTCCAATCTACTCTACCCCCCACCCCACCCCCACTCCCTGTGTAAGATGGGCAACCCAAGAGATAGCATCTGAAAAAATGCCTAGAGATCCTCAGAGAGCGGAGACATGCAAGGCATCATTACCTTCTCTTCTCCCCTGGGGGTGGCAGACTGGCTTGGCCACTCCGCCCATCCCTCACCACCTTCATTCACCCAGCCCACAACCTCCCTCTCCCATTCCACTGCCTCCCCCATTTAACTCTGCTAACCCCACCCTCCTGCTGGTTCCACCCCCTTTTGGAGAGTCCTAGGGCAGAGCAGACCAGGAAAGAGGATTTCCAAGCTACTTACACTACCTCCTTCCTACAAGACGATGTACAGAGGGTGTGCCCATCGTGGACTTTGCTATCTGGTGGGTTCTCCAGTGTCTACTCGGGTGGAGGGTGAAACAGAAAAGGTTTGAGTATTAGTGGGGAAGGACAATGTGGAGTTTAGGAATAGAATCCTTTTCCCAATTCAGAAATCCCTCCACATGGGCAGAGAAATCTGATTAAGGGATCTCTCATCCAGGGTCTCTCAGTCCCTTAAGACAGTCATTGCCTTCTCCTAGGCTAGTTCACTTGTGTGCAATGAGCTGCCCCCATCACCTCCCCTGCCTCTCCTACTATGTTCACAGCCCCACCCCAAGGCTTGCTGACTTCTCCAAAAAGACCAAATTACCCCCCCCACACACACACACACACATACACATCTCCCTCGAACTCCTCCTAATCCTATAGTCTCTTTCCCTCCCTTCCCTTCTTACCAACCCCCCCAAAATAGGCCAGCTGCACTCTTGACCCTTAGGCCCCTTCCCACCCCACCCAGAAACATCACAGTTTTCAACAATTTCCCTAACTTATCCCTCCAAACCATTTCTCACCCTTACTCCCCACCACTCTGTCCTTCCCCTCCTACCTTTGCCAGCTTACCTTCACTCACTCACCTCTCTAAAACACCTGTGGCAGATTTAGAAGTGCCTTGACCTGCCCTCCTATATGCCCCTCCCCTCCTATAGCCACTCCACCCTTACCCGATTTTCCCTCAAAGTCTTGAAGTCAAATTCTTCTCAATTACTCCAAAAACTGAGATATGCCCTCTGGCCCTGCCCTTCTCAGACCCTAGCCTCCTCCCACTATCAACTTTGACCTTCTCCTTCTACCTCCCTACCCCTTCTACTCTAGTATTCTTGTCATGTAATCCCTCATATAAACACTACATAGTCGAGAGAGGCCGTTCATTCATTCTTTCTGAGCCCAACCCCAGGATCCCTCCTCTCCTAAAGATGGTAAAATCTGCTCTGGGCCAGGAACTGTTCTGCACTATTTTCAAGGCTGTTGTAAACTCCTCTCCAGCCCTAGCTTTGTTATACCTTGCCTTCTGTTATACCTTCTCCTGCTGTGGCTCATTTCCCAGAATTCCCCTTTTCATCTGTGATGGGATGGAGGAATTGGGATAAGGGATCGATTTGCTCTTCCCCCCTCTCAGCCCCTTAGAACCTCTAAGGTACTCATATTATACCCAAGGTATCCCTGGTTCCTAGAATTGGTTGGGAAAGTGCTATCTGGTGCTGAGCTGTACAGGTGTGTCTGCACCATGCAGAGTGGTTCAAGCTGAAACTTGTTTCCTTTCCCTGGTAAAGAAGTCCTAGCTGCTCTTTCTCCCCCTTTCCCCCAGCTATCCTGATCCCTTGCACCTCCCCCTGTCACCACTCCCTTATGTATGCTTGCAGTAGGCCCTGCTTTTCCCCTCTTTGGATTCTGTTCATCTTCCTCAAAAAAGGGAATTAGGCCCATGCCCAGGGAGTTGGGAGGATTGTGAGGGGGTAAGACTTGCTTTGATTTGATCTGATTTTGCTTTTTCTTCCCCCCCCCAGGAGCAGGCACTGAGGCCTCCTAGTCACTGCTCTGGGATACTGAAGATAGATTTGGTCTGCCTAGGCACGGGGTCCTCCCACCTGCCTGCTCTTCCAACAACCTCTACACTGCCCCACTTGGCTCTGCCTCCCTTTTCACCCAAACTTGGCCCTCCCAAAATAAATCATTAACTACCCCATTCCCTGTTCCCTCCAGGCTAGCTCCTGGACATGCTTCCCCTCCCCTTCCCTCCAACCTCAACCACCCACCTTTCCCCTTATCCCCTTCCCTGCTGCTCCCTCCCTTCCTTCCTTCAGACTTGGGTACTTCTACCCTTCTCCTACCAGCCCCAAGGCTCTCCCAGTCTCACCTGCTTCCTCAAGTCCTCTTCCTCCAGTGGGTCTCTCCGGCCTGATTTCAGGTACTGCCAACTAGTTCCTAGACCTGCCCAGACTCCTCCCTGACTTCTTCCCAAAGTCTCCCCTAACTCCCTCCCTGAGTTGCCTGGCTGAGCTGGCTGAGTGGGGATATAAAGAGACTTAGCTCAATCTTTACCGGCCGTGGGGTTGGGCCCTTGTTAAAGAAATACACACCTTCCCTCCCCCCCCAAAGGGTGTGCCGGAGAGGCTGGCTCTCCCCCAGCTTACCCTCCCTTTTATTCTCCACCTTCTTCATCCCTCCCTGGAGTTACAGAGAAAGGGGCTGTCATCAGCCACCTGGATCACCTGGATCATTCAGGGGACTAGTTTCAGGGGCCATAATCACCCTTGCAGACAGACTAGTTAACATACCAGCCCTGCCCAGCCTTGGGCAGGACAGGGACCCAGACTAGCCATTACATTCCATTACAATTCCTTTAGGCCTCAGGCTTCCTGGTTGTTTAGTCAGAAAACAACAGAACCCCTGGAGCCTTGCATTCTGGATGCAACTGGGGATCAGCCAAGTCCCCACTCCTCAAAAATCTGGGCCTTCCTTCCAGAAAGGGTCCCATGCATTTCCACAATTTCCTAGACCATTCTTTCCTTTCTTTCATTGTCTCTCCTGGGCACCAAGCAAGTGGAATGGGGTACCTGGATGTTTCACTCCCCCTACCACACCCAGTCTCCCCAGGAACCAAGAGATGTAGTTGTGATATTTGGGGAAAAAGGAGTGTTTCTGGAGTTGGGAGACTTTGGTTGAAATGCCAGCTCTTCCACTAATAAGCTGTGTGACCTTAGGTAAATCAATTAACATCTCTGTGCCATTCTGTCATCTGCAAAAATGGGACTAATAACACCTTCACTATCTACCTTATAGGATTGTTATAAGTAACACATGAGATAATGCAAAGTGCTTTGTAAACTGTAAAGCTACATTTATATATGTGCATATATGGGTACATATGTATATCTGCATATATGGGTGTATATATATGCATATGCATATATGGATGTGTGTGTATATATACATATGTATTTGTAAGCTATTATTATTTCCAGGAAAACTGACTACCAGATTATGCATCAATAAAATGAAGCCCAGAGGGAAACCCCCTCACCAAATAATCACCTAAAGGGCTCAAAGCCAAGCTAGGAAAGCAGGTATGCTACTGTCCAGTCCAGGAGCCATCCTTGTTTAGCCTCGAAGGAATAAACTGATATTCATTAATTTCTACTGCTCACTGCTACTGAGTGGACATCACCAACACCCATACCCCCATGAGGCTCTAGGTCCTCTCTCCCTCCAAGATTCAAAAGAAAGTCTTGAATTACATCAACATATTTCTTTTTTTTTTTTATTAAATCAAATTATACAAAACGACCATCATTCCACAAATGCCCAAAGCACCAAGCCCCCTCACCCACAAAATCACACCCTCCCTAGTCCCAGCCCAACCACTGTTCCCTCTGCCCACCCGTTCCTTTTCTAAAGGGACAAAACCCTAGAAAAGTTAAGGTCCTAGGATGTGTGGGTGGAGGAGGAGAGCGAGGGGAAGGAGAAAAGGAGGAGAAAGAAAGGGATCTGGCTGGCTGGTTACACTTCAGAATGGGACTGAGGGCCAGAAGCTCATTTAGCACCAAATATCCAATCTCCTAGCCCTTATGCCTGTCCCTCCCTTAATCAAATCAGTCCCCAGACCCCTTCTGAATGCCCTCTCCACTCCAGTTCATGCCACCATTGTCCCTAAAAATCTGACCCTCCACCTTGGTTCCCTTCCTGTATCTCCTACTGTGTGGGGATCCCAATTCCACCTTCCAAAGTCCTACGGAGCATTCAGTGGGATGAATGCCCCACTAGGAGAGGAAGGTATACACAAAGCCTTGGGGTTGGGGGGGGGAGGTGAGGAATAGGGTGGGGAGCTAGGGAAGAAGCTAGAAACTTTTATTTTTATCTTTACGCAGTCTCTGGGGAGCCCCTTCCCACCCCTTCCCAAGATTCCTTGGGTTGTAGTGGTGGAGGCTCAGTTTCTCCGGTTCATGTTTTCTAGCTTCACACTCTTGGCTGCTTCTCCGATCAGTTCCCAGAAGCTCCCAAACTCTAACTTGGAGTCATTGCAGCTACCCAAGTTAGCGATTTTCTCATCCAGCCCACAGCTGCCCTGAGGAAAGACAGGGAGTGGAGCAGAGGGGAGATACCCACAGCTCAGAAAGACAGTCTTCATCCTAGCCTTCCCACCCATCCCACTCCACCCCTCCAAAGAAAGACATAAGCCCAAGGGGAGCCCTTTCCCCCAACCTCGGGAGTAGGCCAATCAATTGGCAAGTATTTATAAAGCCCAAGGTCCTGCTACCCAGATTTAGCTGGGGGAAAAAAGAAAGAAAAATGGGGAAGTCAAGGGACAGACATCCACAGGGACACAGGGCTCAGATGCCTGGGTCTTCCATACCGGCATCAGATGGGGCAGCTGCTGGGTGACCAGATCCCGAAGCTCAGAAGATGTCAGCGTCTCTTTCTTCCCCTCTACTGAATACTGATGAAAGTTTTTGATGAGGGTTTCGATGGCCCGTTCCACATCGCTGAACTCCTGGGCATCCTTAGGACAGGGACAGAAGACAGCTAAAATCAGAGATGTGCTTCCTACCCTCGGGACTCAGGATCACCACAGAACACCCTATTTAAGGCGGGTGTTCTGGCCCTGCCGGGAAATCTCCCTCACCCACCCACCAGTCACATTATTACTATTTATAGGTTCATCCATTGGTCCAAACACCTTCTTGCTCTGGAATTTACTCTTCAACCCTATCAATCCTCTCCATACTCCTCTCTCTTCTGGATCCCCGTCCCCAAACCACAGAAACCTCCCAAAGGCCTTTCTCCTCTATTGAATGCCATCCTAGAAAATGCCAACGAGGCAAGAGGGGCGAACGATCCACTCAGCCCCCAGCTCTCGGCCCCTTTTCACTGTCCAGAATCATTCTCCATTTTTCTCCTGGTCCAGGTTTTTCCCTCTGCCCCCAACCGGACCCACGTGGGAAGCCTTGAGTTATAGCTTGGGCAAACCTCTCCCTTCCCCCCCCCCACTCTCCCAGCCAGGGCAGGTCCCAGCACGTGGGTCCTGCCTGGCTGGCTCTCCCAGGGAAGGCTCTCCAGTGACAGGCTATTCGGGGAAAAGAGCAGGTTCTTCCCTGTCTTTGGGAACTATAAGCCAAGCTATAGGCTATAGCAGAATAAACTATGGAAAGGGGCAGAAGTCAGAGGGAATCCTGGTGAAGAACAGGATGGGGATCAAGTGGGAGCCTGGAGTCAAAGGAGGGAAGCCTGGGAATCAGAGGAAGGGAGGCTCAGTTTCAATGGAAGGTAGGTGGGTCCCAGAGTTGGGCCGGGGGTGGGGGGGTGGGGGAGTCCAAGAGAGAAACTTCAGAAAGAATAGGGAGAAAGAAAAAAAGGAAAAGAGGCATCAGAGGCTAGCGAGAGATTCTTGGGCAGAAGGTAGGGGAATGAATGAACCAACCTCAGCATTTGCAGAATGACATTGTCCCATGGTGACCTGGGTGAGTAGGGGGCACGGGGTCACTTCTTTAGGATCTGGGAGTTTTCTCCTATGGCGTGTCCCTGAGGGACCAGTGGCTCATCTTCTGCCTGGCAAATGTGAGAGATCTGATCTGAGGGGGGGAAGCTGAGGATTCCATCTCCCCCTCGCCCCACCCACCCACATGACTTTGCCCCTCCCTCCAGGAAGCTGGAAACTCGAGGTGGGGAGAGTGGGTCAGGGCCAGCGCCAGCTCTCCATCCCTCCACACCCAGAAACACAGACACATATGCACCCTTAGGAAAGGACAGAGTTTCTGTACCAGGATACCCTTACCTCAAAGCCCTCCTCAGTCTTGATGCCCCCAGACCCTGAAATGGTGCCAACTCTATTTCCTCAGTCTGGTCACAAACATTATCCTAATTACCTGTCCTCCAAGCCCCAGCCCTACAATGTTTTCGGTCTCCTAGTCCCGCAGGCTCCCTTCCCCCTGGACCTTAAAGGAGATGGGGTGGGGTGGTATTAGTATCCCTAAAGGAAGTCTTCTCTTCAGGGTTGAGGGTAAGGTATCCCCCAAGAGCAGCAGGAAAGGAGAGTTATAGAGACCCCATTATGTTAAGGCATGGGCTCACTTACCTGCTAGGGCTTCTGGGACTGAGACAGGAGGAGCCGGCTCACCTGGCCCAGCCCTTATAACTGGGGGAGTGGAAAGGAGGAGCAGGAGAAGCATAGTAGGGAGGAGAGATGGAAGAGGGGGATGGGTTTTCAGCCGGGTTATGCCGACAGCAGCTGTTGTACCCGCCAGGCTCAGAGCCAGAGGGTCCACCCCACTGCCAGGAGGGAGGGACCCAGGACTCCAAAACCAGGCTAGGCAGCTGCCCCTCTGACCCAGACAGGACAAGGGAGAAAGGGAACCTGGGAAATCTGTCAATAGGACAATGAGGCAATGGGTATGGGGATGGGATGGGAGCTGGAAAAAAAAAAAAGGGGGGGGGAAATCTGAAAACCAGCTGAGAAAGATTAGGGGAAAATTCAGAGCCCGGGAAACAGGGAAATCGTTGTGGGTAAAGGAGGTTGGAAAGGGGGAGAAATCCCAGGAAACGGAGAAGCTGAAAAGGGAGATGGTCAGTGGCAGGTGGCATCAAGGTGAGGAAGGGGTTTACGAGTGTGCCCCTACCTCCAGAAGGCAGGATACAGGAAATGGGGGAGGATCAGAAGAAGAGGGAGAGAGGCACGGTACAAAAGATTAGTGTAGGAAGCCTTTCTCACTTGGGGTCACTCTGCGGCTGATTCCTGACCTGATAGGCTGGGGAGGGGAGAGGAGTCACCCCAAGCTTTGCTGTACTTTGGAGAGCCTGCCCCCACATTGTGTAAATTTGTAGAGTCATCTTTTTTTTTTTTGGTCTTATCCTGTGATTTCATTGGTGGTAGGGCACTCCCAGCAAGGGGACTCCCTACATCTGCAAAATGAAACTGCTCTGTCAAGAGCATTGAAAGGTTAAGTGATTTGCCCAGTGTGAGGAGGAAATGACTTGAACCCAGAATTTCCTAAATCTGAGGCTGGCTCTCAGTCCATTTTAATGCCTGTTAAACTTTAATTCTCTTCACTTTAGCCTATTCCCATTTTCTGGGGGAGGAAGTCCGGGGCTAGTTAGTGGGAACAAGCTCGAAGGAAGGCATCTTGTCAGGAAGCCAGCGGGATACTGGAATGGCCTGTGTGAGAATTAGTATTCTGCTCGACTCTGCCTATTTACAAGGGCTGTTTTTACTGTTCTGTTGAAGGAGAGGGGGAGAGAGAGAGAGAGAATGCTTGTTACCTGGAAAAATAAAAGTTATTTTTTAATAAAAGATATCAATAAAAAATTACTTTAAAAAGAAAACAGAGCCAGCCTGCTTTGGGGAGCTGTGGTTTCCTTTCCTCCTCGAAGATTCCTCTGGATAGGATCTCAGTACAGATGTTGAGTGGGGCCCAAAGGGGAGGGGGGGAAGGGGTACTCTAACTCTCCAAACTGGTTGAGTTGCCTGCCACTCCCTTTCTGTCATCCCGAGTTCCCACCTCCCCCCAACAAGAGGTTTGGCAGAGGGCCCTCCAGTCCCTGGGGCAAGTTTCTAGGAATTACAAGACCCTTGGACCTCCAGCCTTCGATACCTCATCTAGCCTTCCCCAACTTCCACAGCCCATGGCACGGCCCCCCTGTAACAGTGAGTAGGAAATGTAAGGTGGAGAGAATGGAGGGAGAAACACAGGGCAAGGTTTGCGGGGCTGCTGGGCATCTCCCTCGTAGGGTTCTCATTCTGAGCCCCTCTAGGCAGTCTCCAGTCAGCTCATAGGGCCCTGTGGGCTGCCCTGCCCTTGCCCCATCTTGTGGCCAGAACCTTGAACCTGAGAACCCCTGTCTCAGGCTTTTCCAAAAGTTTTGAGGATGGGCAGTAGCTGTGCCCCTAAATTCCTTTCCCTACCCCACCTCACCATCAATCTGGAAGTATAGGCAGTAAGCTCAGATATGGAAAGGAAGGGAAACAAGTCTCTAAAATTCTAATGTTGAAGCCCAAATGAGGAGCAAAACATAAAGTATGCTAGGAGCCATGCTAGAGATGTCAATAATCAGGCATGGCAGGAGCCAGGACAGTGGGCATCCCCAGCCCACCCCCCCCCACCCCCCGCTGAGGCCTCCAGGAAGAGCTCCAGAAGAGATAGGAACCATCTACCTGCCCTGCCCCTTCCTCCAGAGTTGCGTCACTATTGGTCATTCATTCACTCAGCAAACATTTATTGGATGATGCTACAGTCAATATAAGAAGCACTGTGTAGCAAGTAGAAAGAGAGCCTTGAAGACAACACAGCTTGGTTGAAGTCACATCCTGATGCCTGGGGCTGTGTGACCCGGGTCAAGGTGACTCTTCCAGGCTATCTATAATGTTTCCTCACCCCAGTTTCCTGTAGTGACAAAATCACAGGTTCAGTTCCTAGCCCCACTATATGTAATACTAGGCTTTTTGTGGGTTATCACTTGACCTCTTGGCCTCAGTTTCTTTATCTGTAAAATGGAATCCCTGCCTAATTCACAGGGTGATTGTACAATCTTAAAGTACAATATATACTCTGCCTCAAGTCCAGCACCCTCTCCTAAGCTCAGGAGGAATGTCTGGAGAATCTGGGAGGAGTAAGAAAAAGTACACTTGTATTTCAAGACAACTTTATTAGGAGGACAGGGGTCACCTCGTCACCTTCCCCTACTCTCCCCCAAACCTCCCCCCCAAAACTTCTTCCGGAACTCTGCTGCTTTCTCTTTCTTCATCTCCTTGGCCAGTTCCCCAATAAGCCTCCAGTATTCATGGAACTTGAGTTCAGAATCCTGATTCACATCCAGACTCTTCATCTTCTCATCCAAGGAGCCCACACCCTAGGGAGACACAGGTGTGTGAGGAGGGGCAGAGAAGTCCCAGGGGAGATGAAATGGGACCTTCATAGAATGTCAGAACTAGAAGATAATTTCTTCAGTCCAGGGCCTCCCAGATTGTGTTTAAGAAAGCCTAGTGTTCCCAGAGATGGGGAACGAAATTTCTGTAGGAAGTTTCCAATACTAATAATATTTTTACTCCTAAATATTAAATATGAAATTGTATATTTAAAATACTACTTATGCATTGTTGGGGTATAAAATTAGACTTCATTTCCTTTTATTTTGCTCCAAAATTTCTCCAGGTCCTCATTTATCCTGAGGGAATTCTATACCTCTAGATCAGCATTTAATGTTGTTTGGATGTTTTTCAGCCAGGTCCAACGCTTCATGACTCCATCTGGGGTTTTCTTAGCAAAGATACTGGAGTGGTTTGCCATTTCCTTCTCCAGCTTATTTTACAGATAAAGAAACTGAGGCAAACATTGTTGAATGACTTGTTCAGGGTCACACAACTAGGAAGTATCTGAGGCCAGATTTGAACTCAGAAAGATGAGTCTTCCTGATTCCTGGCCTGACATGCTATCTACTTTGCCACCTAGATGCTCTCAGCATTTACACATGTATATTAAATATTACATAATACATAATGAGTATGTATTATTATATAAAATAACTAATTTCTATTTAAATCATTATATTATATATATTGTTTATTATAAATCAGTATATTTAAAATCCAAAAGTGTTCTCTGGACAAATCACCTTAGAAAAGGCTGAAAGAGGGAAAAGGAAAGGGGAGGAAACTTTATTCAGCCCTGTTCTGGCCCGAACTAGAAGGGACCTTAGAGGTCATCCATCCCAATGCCCTTATTTTACAGATGAGGATGCTGAGACCCAGAGAGAAGGGACTTGCCCAAAGTCACCCAGCCATTAAGTCCCAGAGCTGGGACTCAGGCTCCTAACCCAATGTTCCTTTTTTGTGTGTGTGTGTGAGGCAATTGGGGTTAAGTGGCTTGTCCGAGGTCACACAGCTAGTAGGTATCAAGCATCTGAGACCAGATTTGAACTTAGGTCCTCAGGACTTCAAGGCTGAAGCTTTATCCACTGTGCCACCTAGCTGCCCCTCCCAATGTTCTTTCTAACCCACTAATATCTAGGCAGGGGTTTCTAACCTGTGAGCTTTTGTTTTGGACTGTTTTGTTTTAATATTCTGGTAAGTGTATTTCAACAGAATTCATTTCACTAGACTCCCAAAGGGGTCCAAGACACTAAAAGGGTTAAAATAAATCCTGAGCTAGAGGAAATGACAGGGAAAGATGGAGATGGGGGAGGTGAGGACAGAGAATGGAAAAGGAAAAGGACTCTAGACCTTGGTCAGTGTGAGTGTTACTGAGTGCTAGGGCATCAAGGCAATGTGAAAACAGGACGCCAGTGCAAGTGTGTGCCTGTCCTTGGACTCTGTCCAAAATAATCTTGACCTATACAAAGAGTTCTGGAAGATCAATGTGTCATGCCGGGGCTGGGAAAACATATACTACTGTGATTATGTGACTAAGAGGAGACTTGAGGGATGTTGGATTTTGTGGAATCTTCTCTCCAGTAACTGGTACTCTGCCTGAACTCATTCCTCAATGATTAACATACTCCCATTCTATCATACTCTCTCCATCTCTGGGATTCTGAAAGCCTAGCTATCACCATACAAACCTGGAATCTTTATTCCCACTTCCCTCAACCCAACCCTTCCAATGTCCTACTCCAGATCTACCCACTCTTTCCACTGTGCTATCTGGAATGCCTATTCCATAACGAACAAATCTGCTTTATCTTAAACCTTTTCCTTTCTCACTCCCTCCATCTTCTTATACTCACTGAGTCCTAACTCCCTCCTGATAACACAGCATCCCTGGTGACCCCCTCCTAACACTGGGTGAATTTTCACTCATAACACCAGTCATTAGTCATGGTGGGGGAATTGAAATATTCTGTGTTCCCCATTGCCACATTCAGACTCATCCTCTACCAACGTCACCTAATACATTCTCCTCTCCTCCTTTGAAGTTTATTCAATCCATATTTATCACTTGGTCAAGTTTCTGGTAACTATTATCTACCTATCCCCAGAATAATGTCCTTTCCTCAATGAATTTAGTTACTGGTTTACAGTCTCTCTCCTCCCCAGTTCCTGCCCTTATACTAAGGAACTTGAACATACATACGGATGCTCCCCTAAACACTCTAAATTCCCAATTATTCTATTCCATAATCTGTTTCTATATTACACCTCAGATTTACCCAGAGAAGGCCATATGCATCATCTTTCCACTACCTACAACTATTCCACTTCTATGTTCATGAACTCTGAAATACCTTTATCTAATTATAATATTATATGATTCCATCTTTCCTTTAGCCTTACGACCTCCTGACCCTTTTCTTAGTTATTACCATGCCTTCGAATTCCTCTATCTCTCAGTTCTTTCCCAGGCTATCACCCCTGTAACTGTATTCTTCTCCCTTCCCTTTCTTGACCCTTTGGGTGAAACAGTTCAATTCTATACTATCCTATATATTCAAATTGCTTGTCTCCTTGACACACTGCTGATCATGCCCTACCAAGACCCAGTGGATTATTCCCACCATCCTCTGCCTTTGCTCCTATTCTGATGCTACTGCAGAAATCCAGAGAAAAATCAAGAAACCACACTGACTGGGTCCACTACAAATTTACATTACATAATATCAACTGGGGCCTGACTGCAATGAGGCAGTTCTTTTATACCTCCACAATTAAATCCCAAGCACCACAACAGCTTTTTCTTTTTCTTTCTTTTCTTTTTTATTTTGGAGGCAATGGGGGTTAAGTGATTTGCCCAGGGTCACACAGCTAGCTAGTAAGTATCTGAGGCCACATTTGAACTCAGGTTCTCCTGACTCCAGGGCCGGTGCCCTATTCACTGCACTACCTAGCTACCCCTACAACAGCTTTTTCCAAACCTTTTCATTGTTCCCCAAACTTTCTGTGCCTTCTCCTTTCCCTACCCTCTTCGCTGAAAACCCTGCCCTTGTAGCTAGCCAGTGGTAGCTAAGTGGTACAGTGGATAAAGGTTGGACTTGGGAGTCAAGAAGACCTGAATTCAAATACTGTCTCACACACGTTCTAGCTGGTCAAGTCATTTATCATTTCTCAGACTTAGTTTTCTTATCTATGAAATAGGGGTAATAAAAGTACCTACCTCACAGAGTTGTAAGGATCAAAAGAGATAACATATAAAAATGCTATATAAATGTTAGCCTTTATTATTATTTCACTAAAAAACTTGAGGCTGTTCACCAAGAGCTCCCTCTTCTCTCATCCTCATTATACATTACTCAGGGGCCCTTCCCCACTATCTCCTCCTTCACCTCTGTCTCACATAAAGAAGTGGCCTTTCTTGCTTGCCAAAGCAAACCCTTCTACATGCACAAGTGATTCAATTCCATTTTGTTCCCTCCAGCAGATTTCCCCTCTCTATCATCTCCATTTTTATACTAATCTTCAGTCTCTCCCTATTTCCTGGCTCCGCCCCTGATGCCAGCAAATATGATTTTGTCTTCACCATCCTCAAAAAACACCCACCATCTTGATCCATTCATCTTTCTAGCTATAATCCCATTTCTCTCCTCCCTTTTGTGTTCCTAAACAACTTGAGAAGGCCATCTATAAATGGTCATTTCCCTGGTTCTCATTCTGGCTAGCAAATAGAGCTCTGGGCCTCAAATCAGGAAGATCTGAATTCAAATCCAGCCTTGGACACTGACTAGCTAGATGTCTTTGAGGAAGTCACTTAACATCTCTATTTGCCTCAGACTCTTCAGTTCCAAAATGAGGATCATAATAGCACCTAATGGGTGGAACCAACATGGTGGAGTCCTGGATGACTGCCCTAGAGCTAGTTCTAACACACCAGAGCTTGCAGGTGCAAAGGAACAGAGAATCCTGGTTACAGTTCCAAGGGGGGAAAGAATGCTTGTGGTCACTCACAGACCAGAGCACAGGCCAGGAGAGCAGTGACCACACCTTTCTTTAGATCACACTCTGGAAGAACTGAAAACTTATAGACTCCCAGAATGAGCTCTGAGAACAGCAGCAAGAAAGGCCTGGAATGTGGGATAGTGCTTTAATATAGAGTTAAAAGTCAAGAAATAGGCTGGGAAAATGAGCAAACAACAAAAAAAAAGAACCTGACCATAGAAAGTTACTTAGTGACAGGGAAGATCAAAACACAAACTCATAAGAAAATAAAGAAGTCTACATTCAAAGTCCCAAAGAAAAATGTGAATTGGCATCAGGCCCAAAAAGAATTCCTGAAAGAGCTCAGACAGGATTCTAAAATAAGAGAGGTGGAGGAAAAATTGGGGAAAGAAATGAGAGTGATGCAAAAAATAATGAAAAAAAGAATCAACAACTTGGTAAAGGAGGCACAAAAAATACTGAAGAAAACAACACCTTAAAGAACAGATTACGACAAATGATAAAAGAGGTACAAAAATCCACTGAAGAGAAGAACTTCTTTGTGTGTGGCAATTGGGGTTAAGTGACTTGCCCAGGGTCACACAGCTAGTAAGAGTCAAGTGTTTGGTCTGAGGCCAGATTTGAACTCAGGCCCTCCTGACTTCAGGGCCAGTGCTCTACCCACTGCACCACCTAGCTGCTCCTTCAGTGAATTTTTGTAGCTCTTTTTCCAATCAGCTAATTCTGCTTTTTAAGATGTTCTTCTCTGGGGCAGCTAGGTGGCGCAGTAGATAGAGCACTGGCCCTGAAGTCAGGAGGGCCTGAGTTCAAATGTGGCCTCAGACACATAACACTTACTAGCTGTGTACCCTGGGCAAGTCACTTAACCCCACTGCCTAACAAAAGCAAAACAAACAAAAAAAAATTCACTGAAGAAAAGAACTCCTTAAAAAGTAGAACTGGCCACATGGAAAAGGAGGTACAAAAGCTCACTGAAGAAAATAAT